GTAGTAGTAGTAGTAGTAGTAAACTATTTGTATTTTGTGGTAGTAGAAGTAGTAGTAGTAGTAATAGTAGCAGTAGTAGTAGTAGAAGTATTAGAAGTAGTAGTGGTATTTGCAGTCGTAGTAGCATTAGTAGTAGTTGTATTAGCTGTAGTATTGGTAATAGTAGTAGTAGTAGTAGTGGTAGTAGTAGTAGTATTTAATGCTAGTAGCAGTAGTAGTAAAAGTAGTTGCGGTGGTGGCGGTAGTATTAGTGTTAGTAACGGTAGTAAGTAGTAGCATTGTAGTATTAGTAGTAGTTTATAGTTGTGGTAGTATAGTAGTAGTAGTCGTAGCATTAGTAGTAGTAGTAGTAGTAGTAGTAGTAGTAGTAGTACTAATATTTGTAGTTTGTGGTAGTATTAGTAGTAGCAGTGGTAGTAGTAGTAGTAGTAGTAGTTGTAGTTGTGGGAGTAGTAATATTAGTAGTATTAGTAGTGGAATTAGTATTAATAGTAGTAGTTGTTGTTGTTATTGTACTTGTAGTAGTAGTACTGTTAATATTAGTCGTGGTAGTAGCAGTAGTAGTAGCAGTAGTAGTAGTAGTAGTAGTAGTAGTAGTAGTAGTAGTAGCGGCAGTAGTATTATTAGTAGTAGTAGCTGTGCTGTTGGTGGTAGTATTAGTAGTATTGGTAGTAGTAGTAGTTTGGTAGTATTAGTAGTATTATTAGTAGTAGTAGTTGTAGTTGTGGTAGGAGTAATATTATTAGTGGTATTAGTATTAGTAGTATTTGTAGTTGTTGTATTAGTAGAAGTAGTGGTAGTAGTAGTAGTAATTGTGGTAGTAGTAATTAAAGTGGTAGTAGTAGTCTTAGTATAAGTAGTAGTAGTGGTAGTAGTAGCAGTAGCAGCATTAATATTGGGTAGTATTACTAGTAGTATAAGTAGTAATTATGTTTCTGGTATTAGCAGTAACACTAGTAGCAGTAGTATTAGTAGTAGTTGTAGTTGAGGTAGTAGTAGTAGTCGTATTATTAGTAGTAGTGGTAGTATAAGTAGTAGTAGCAGTAGTAGTAATATTTGTGGTAGTACTAGTAGTAGTATTTCCGTTTGTGTTAATAGTAGTGGTAGTAGTATTGGTATTATTTGTAGTAGTAGTTGTAGTAGTATTAGTATTTCCATTTTGGTAGTAGTAGTAGTGGTAGTGGTAGTAGTTGTGGTTGTGGTGGTAGTATTATTAGTAGTAATAGTAGTAGTAGTATTTGTAGTACTGGTGGTATTAGTAGAAGTTGTAGTAGTAGTAGTAGTATTTGTAGTTGTGGTAGCAGTAGTAGTAGTAGTAGTAGTAGTAGTAGTAGTAGTAGTAGTGGTAGTAGTACTAGTAGTAGTAGTAGTAGTATAATTTGTAGTTGTGGTAGTAGTAGTAGCAGTAATATTAGTCGTAGTAGTAGTAGTAGTAGTTGTAGTAGTTGCAGTATTTGTAGTTGCGGTAGTAGCATTAGTAGTAGTGGTGGTAGTAGTAGTAATGGATGTGGTGTTGGCGGTAGTAGTAGTAGTAGTAGTAGTAGTGGTAGTTTTAGTAGGTAGTAGCAGTATTTGTTCTGTTTGCGGTAGTATTAGTAGTAGCAGTAGTAGTAATTGTGGTAATCGTAGTATTAGTAGTAGTATTAGTAATAGTAGTAGTATTTGTATTTGTATCAATAGTAGTGGTAGTAATAGTTGTAGTAGTAGTAGTAGTAGTAGTAGTAGTAGTAGTAGTAGTAGTAGTATTAGTTATGTTACTAGTGGTAGTTATTTAAGTAGTGGTAGTGGTAGCAGTAGTATCCTAGTGGTAGGTAGTAGTAGTATTAGTATTAGTATTGGTAGTTGTAGTTGTGGTAGTATTATTAGTAGTAGTAGTTGCAGTTACGGTAGTAGTAGCATTAGTAATATTAGTATTTTTAGTAGTAGTTGCGGTATTAGTATCAGTCGTAGTAGTACCAATAGTAATATTAGTTGTAGTTTGGGTAGTAATAGTGGTTGTAGTATTAGTAGTAGTAATAGTAGTAGTAGTAGTAATATTAATTGTGGTAGTAGTAGTAGTAGTAATAGTAGTAGTAGTTGTATATGTGGCAGTAGTAATAGTAGTAGTAGTAGTACTAGTATCAGTATTAGTAGTAGTATTAGTCATATTACTAGTAGTAGTTTTAGTAGTAATATTAGGGGTAGTAGTATTAGTAGCATTAGTAATAGTTGTGGTAGTAGAAGTAGTAGTAATAGCAGTGGTAGTTGTACTAGTATTAGAATTAATAGTAGTTGTGGTAGTAGTAGTAGCAGTAGTAGTAGTAGTAGTAGTAGTAGTAGTAGTAGTAGTAGTAGTAGTTGTAGTAGTAGTAGTAGTAGTAGTAGTAGTAGTAGTAGTAGTAGTATTAGTAGTAGTAGTAGTAGTAGTAGTAGTAGTAATAGTAGTAGTAGTAGTAGTAGTAGTAGTAGTAGTAGTAGTAGGAGTAGTAGTAGTAGTAGTAGTAGTAGTAGTAGTAGTAGTAGTAGTAGTAGTAGTAGTAGTAGTAGTAGTAGTAGTAGTAGTAGTAGTAGTAGTAGTAGTAGTAGTAGTAGTAGTAGTAAGATTAAGTCGGTAGTACTCGAAGTCTGATATCCATGCATGCTGTATGATTTAATGACTTGTAGACTGAGGTCGTGTGCTTTTCAAATCCACAGAATTCATGAGTGACGAAGAGAATTTTATTGATATATATGAACACGCTCTACGATATTACTGAAAACACCGAGTTCAGTGATGCTGGCTTTTTTTTCAGTAACTTTATTCTTTACTGTTGTACAAATACAATTCGCTTTACACTTTACTTCCTTTATACGAGATAGTTATAAGTATCAGTAATTCGTTATTATCGTTTCTAGATAATCATACAAGTGTTACCGGTTTAACTCTTTTTATGAGTTCAAGCATATCGATTTCATGTGATTGAGCATTGAACTGACGAAAAGAGCTTCAGTGACTAACCTTTCTCTTCACTTAACCAAATTAGTCTTCAGATTTCCCACTTTATTCTCCACTGTTGTTTGATACAGTGTTATTACATATATAACTGAAACTGAATTCCTCTTTAGACTACTCATCATCTAGACATAACTAGTTTCGTATATTTTGTTAAATTAACTAACCCAGCGTTTGCAAGAACTGGCGAGGAATCACTCTCCTGTCCACCCCAAGTAAAATATTAAGCCGCATCATCCTGGAGAGGCTTAAAGATGCACTGGATTCAAAACTGCGACCGGAACAGGCAGGCTTCAGGAAGTACAAATCATGTGCTGAACAAATTGCAACGCTACGCTTCGCATCATCATAGAACAGAGTATAGAATGGCAGTCAACTCTCTACCTCAACTTCATCGACTTGAGAGGGCCTTTGACAGCGTCGACCGAGAGGTAATTTGGAAACTGCTTCAATACTACGGAGTGCCGCAAACCTTTATCCGCCTCATTCAACAACTATATGAAGATGCCACATGCCAAGTAATTCACAATGGGAAGCTCAGTGATGATTTTGAAGTGAAGACAGGAGTGAAACAAGGTTGCCTACTATCCCCCATGATATTCCTGATTGTGGTGGACTGGATCATGCAGCAAACAGTAGGCAGCGAGAAGAGGGGGATAGGCTGGACTGCGGAAAACAACCTAGAAGATTTGGATTTCGCCGATGACTTGTGCCTGATGTCACATAAACTTGAAGATCTGCAGGCGAAAACTAACAAGTTGACAGAAGAGGCAGCTAAGACGGGACTTCAGGTGAATATAGAGAAGACAGAGGTGATGAAGATACCGCATCAACAACTCCAACAACAACAACAAACTGCAGTCACCATCAACGGAGAAACTTAAAGGAAGTAACCTCCTTCACTTATCTAGGAAGCACTGTTTCAACTACAGGCGGGACGGACGAGGACGTCAAAGTCAGAATCGGAAAAACAAGACAGGTCTTCATTAACCTGAAATCAGTGTGGAGATCTTCTGCACTCAGCATGTGGAACAAGATACGGATTTTCAACACCAACGTCAAGTCAGTGCTTCTACATGTTTCAGAGACTTGGCGCGTCACGAAAGGCATTTCCAATAAACTGCAGACATTCATCAATAACTGCTTACGCTCGCTACTGTAGATCAGGTGGCCAGAATGATAAGAATAAGCAACAAGGAGCTCTGGGAACGAACCAACCAAGAACCTATCACCCAACAAATATGCAGGAGGAAGTGGAGATGGATTGGGCATACACTGAGAAGGCCGACTGAGGACATCACAAGTCAGGCCAGGCACTCGAGTGGAATCCCCATGGGAAGCGATGAGTCGGGTGTCCGAGGCGAGGGTGACATGGAGGAGGTCATGTGAGGAGGAAATGAGAGCGTGTGGGCTGTCGTGGAATCAGGTTCGAAAGATCTCAGAGAACAGAGGTCACTGGAGACGTGCTACTGAAGCCCTATGTTCCACTAGGAACCCAAGGGACTAATAATAATAATAATAACAATGATAACTAACCCCATTTGCCTAGTTTAAGGTATGTTGTTATTTGTTGTGAAGAACCAGCAATAAATCCTCGCAAACCTCTGAATTGAATTACTCTACACTCATCATTTCTCACTTGCTTCAAGTTGAGATTTCGTGAATCCTTCAACAGATGAGCCAAGTTGAATGTGAAGATAAATACTCAGTGATGGCACTGCATGAAGATCAAGCTACATCGTGAACTGCCAGAACTAGTAAAATGTGGACCAGTAGAATTTAATCAAGTAATTCAATGATAATTTGTTCACCTAGGTTTGATCGCTGAAGAATTTATAAGTGAGTATTGCTAAGGAATCCCATACTGGGTCGAAACAGTTGATAAACTCTTCTAATCTATGATGAATGCCAACTTGATATTTGTCCCTTCTTTATATTGTAACACTATTGAATTCCTTTTTAGTTAAGTGTAAAGAGATGTTGATCACAGAATCTCTGTTCATCGTATGAACACCTAATCCATTCATATATAGTATAACCTTCCGAAGTATAGAGACGATGAGAGTTACTACTTTTAGTATATCAGTATTTCGTGAATCATTTGTGACAATAGTGTTCAATCATTACACTTCAGATGGATTCAGTTATATGTCTTTGCAATCAACTGAGTCAACATCTTTTAGACTATTTCGTTAACAGTATAATCTTAATTTAAGCGAAGCTTTTTTCATAAGTTTGATGAAATAATCTTTGCAATGATTTATTACAAGTGAGATAAATCATGTAGAACTGCTATTTTAGAGCTGTAGAGGAAATAAGTTGTTGTCCTTACAATCAACCATTATCATTATTATTATTTTTTCCTTGGGTTCCTAGTGAAACATAGGGCTTCACTAGCACGTCTCCATTCCACTCTCTTCTCTGCAGTCTACCTAACCTGGCTCCATGACTGCCCACAAACTTTCATTTCTTTCTCACATCATCTCATCAATGTCACCCTCATCTCGGAAGCCAAACTCGTCGTTTCCCATTTGGATTCCACTCGAGAACCTCACCTGGCGCGTGATGTCCCCAATCCGCCTTCTCAGTGTATGACAAATCCATCTCCACTTCCTTCTACTGCATACCTGTTGGGTTCTTGCTACATTGGTTCGTTCCCACAGTTCCTTGTTGCTTATTCTTATTATTCTGACCATCTGATCTAAAGCAACGATCGTAGGTAGATGTTGATGAATATCTCTAGTTTGTTGGAAATGCTTTTGTAATTCGCCAAGTTTCTGAACCATCACACAGAAGCACTGACTTGACTGGCATTGGTGTTGAAAATCCGAATGTTGTTGACACTTTATGCTGAGTGCAGTAGATCTCCACACCGATTTCAGATTAATGCAGGGAGGCCTGTCTTGCTGTCTTTCCGATCATGGTTTTGACATCTTCATCTGTGCCTGTGTTGCCTGTACTTGAAACGATGCTGCATAGGTAGGCGTAGGTGAAGGAGACAATTTTGTTTAGGTTTCTACTGTTAATGGTGATTGGTACTTGTTGTTGGTGATGTTGGTGGTGTTGGTTGGGTATCTTCATCACCTGCATCTTCTCTACACTCACTTGAAGTCTCGTTTTCGCTACCTCACATCTTCTGTCAACTTGTTGGTTTTCGCCTGTAGATCTTCGAGTTTGTGTGACAAGACATTAGACATAAATCACCATTAGTGGCGTAATCCAAATCTTCTAGGGTGTTTTGATCGATCCAGCCAGCTTATGCCCATCTTCTCGCTCCTTACGATTTGCTGCATGATCCAGTCCAGTCCACCACAATCAGGAAAGCTCAGAATTTCTTAACGAATCCTTAGTCAATTATTGCTTCTTGTTGTCAAGGCAAATCAACTTAAATGTGAGAACAAAAATACTGGACACTGATATAATGCATTAAAGCTGCACTTTATCCCATCTCTAGTGAGGTTATGGATGCGTATTTTTTGTGAGTCTTGTAGTAGGATGAAATAGCTCTCCACTGTTCATGAATTTCAATGGTTCTTCATTTTATGTCCCTCTATCATGAATGTCAAATTGAAGTCAAGTAACATACTTTTATTGATTAAAGTGTATGCGTATATGTGTGACTAGCAACATATTGATTTATCTGTTGATGTGATGTAATTTCAACTCTGAATAAGATTATGGTATAAAATGAAGAGAGAGAAGATAAGACTATGAGGTTTAGATTTTTTTTATAAAATTCTCTTTTTATCATTTTAGACTATTCCTTCTGAGAAGGCCGACTGTGGATATCACACGCCAGGCCAAATGCTCAAGTGGAATCCAAAGGGAAAACGAAGAGTTGGGAGTCCGAACCGAGGGTGATATGGAGGAGATCATGTGAGAAAGAAATGAAAGCTTGTGGAATGGTGACGTGCTACTGAAGGTCTATATTCCACTAGGAACCTAAGAAAAGTAATAATGATAATCCTTCTGAACTCTTCCAGATGTTAGTAGTACTACTAATTCTGATAAATAGCTGTAGAAAAAGTCTATCATTAGTCTACGATGAAATATAAAATAAATTCCAAGTTGGTATTCATCATAGACTGACATAAGTTGAAGAAGCAGACATTGTAATCAATGCATTGAAGTTTTCTTGTAAAACAGTCGCTAAATAAAATGCCTAGCTCAAATGACTAGTCAGTGTGAAAATTTATACCCTCCCTGGCTTACAAAATATATCTTGACCATTTCTCAATATATAAAATGTCATATTAAGTATTTCAAGAATCACTTGACATTCAGAAGTAGTATTCATCATGGACTGGCATTAGTTGGCGAACCATTGAAAATCTGGGAGTACTGGACAGCTGTTTCATTCTAGTATGGGACTCCTCAGCAGCACGCACCCACCACCCGACTAAGGATCGTACTCAGGACCTTCAAGTTTCACGGTGAACGCGTTAACCATTCAGCCACTGGGTCGGTTTCCAGTGGTCCACAATTTCCAACTTCTGTCAACTTGACATTCAGTTAGATAGGTGAATTTAAGTTAGAATAAAATTACAATCAAACGTCTTCGTTTTGCATAGCTTTGGCCCATTGTTTTACCTATAATTTGTCAGTCATGTTTTCATACCATTGCTATCTTTTCTCCCTTCTTCTCTCAAGGCTGAATTCTTATTGGTTGTTAACTGTATGTGGATTAAGTGTTGTCAAGGTCATTTAGAAATGTATATATATTCAGCATTCCTGTCGCAACTGTATTGACTATTGTTGAGACAGTAAAATGGTCTGTCTTCTCTTCTTATCTTTGCATGTTGGTGGTATTTTCGTTGTTGTTGTTGTGGTGGTGGTGGTGGTTAACATTCTGTTTTGCGTTAGGTTCATATTTCTCATAGACTGTTAGGTTACACTACCAATCATAGCAGAATCTTTTAAAATTTGTAACTCAGAGTAAAGATGATGATGAAGTCAGATGGCCTGTCGATGAAATGTGAAAATGAGTAAACTTTCAAATTTCAGTTGACACCAAAGTGTTATTATTTCTAAGATGATAATTTGATGGAATTTTAGAGACTAATAGATCTTTAACATTTGTCTCCATTTACTTGAAAACTCTTCATTGTTGTAATAATTATGCATACAGTAACATTCTATTGAACAGTTTCTTTGAAAATAAACAAATATCCCCAAATAATAGAGGAACTGTTCATCACCATTTCATAAATAACCTATAAACGCTTAGAGATAAGAAAGAGAACCAGTCACTTTTTGAGGAAAGTAAGCTGTAAGAAAGGATAAATACTTGCCAAAGACATTGCTAGGTCCAGTTCACTGTCCCCTCTCTTCCAATATACCCTGTCAACTGAAGTAAGTTCAGGCAAAAAAAACACTAAACACTGTCATTTAAGAAAAAGCAGACTTTGTGTTATGTTGTAAGCGGTTTCGTTAAATGAGTGTGGAATTGGCTAACTCAACTGATCATCATGATGAATGGAGTGAGTATATGAAACTATTTGAGCAAGTGGCATACATGAGACGAATCATGTGGAAGGTTAGCGTTAAGATTGAAATGTCCGAAATCATATGTTTCATATAATTTCAAGGAGATAACGGTTATAATTGAGTTTATGTAACAATCAACATCGATCTCATTGCCTCAAATCCCCATCGTAAATTTCTTCTACTTTTCTTTACATTTTTTTCTCCCTCTTCCTCTATCTTTTGTGCTAATGTTACTTATTACAACCTGAATACTAAGTGAAAAATACCAAATCATATTCGAATACAACATGACAGTAAAAATATCCTTAGAATATGATATCCACGATGACATTCTGAAAAACGTTAAGAATCATATATCTTCAGGAAAAATGCTCTAAGAAGAATGTAATTTCTAAAGGACGTGAAGAGCCTGAAACTTCACACCTCTTCTGATCGTATTGGACTATGAGACACTCCTGGTATGTTACACCTTCTTGATACTATCTGTTCATCATACTTTAGGTGTGTTCATTAGTTGGTTATAAAGTGTTCAAGTAATATTGAATAACTTAAGTAGTTGTAAACCATTTAGGCATTTCTGTAGACTTCACAAGGCTCCACAGATAAACCAGGTTCATGTTAGCCTACTAGAGTAATGGCTGTATGTTGCGTATATTGGATGGATGATGTTGAATCACACTAACAAGCTCGCGAGATTAAAGTATATCAAGTGAACTAAAGTAGAACGTCTATATCACTGAAGAACACCACATGTTCAGTATATCCTCAAGACAAAAGTTAAATAACCACTGTGCTTAAAATTTACTTTCATCATTCAGGCAATCGATAACTTACCTATTTCAGTGGAATCATAGAAGTAGCCCCTTTCTAATAACTCTTCATAAGTGTTTTTTAGCAATGGGGCTAAATAAGACTTGGTGAATGCTTGTGCTGCTATTTTTCTTGCTGTCTCTTTAGCTAATCCAGCGCTTATTTCATATTGTTTCAAACGTCTTTGTTTCTCTTCTCTACACGTTTATGAAATATAAATAATAATCAATAAGAATCATGAACTTTCTTTGGCTAACATTAGTTCTTTATGAAACTCACCAATGATAATCAAAACAAAGGAATGTACAAGTGACCCTGAACACCTAACCAATCACCATGCAGAAGAGTGATTATTGGACGGGGAGGTCAACCAATCAGATGGCGGTACTCGTTAATTGTAAAATATGGTGCATCTTACTTTCAAAAAATATATATAAATTCTGCAGTTGTATTCTTTAGGCTGAAAAAAGGAATGCTTACCCAAGGTGTTACATAATATTTCTAAGAAATTAAGGAAATCCAAAAAATTATTTACCCACATGGCCATGACAGATTTTGAGCTTTTCATCTAGGATCTTGAATCCTTGCTTCCTAAACTATTTCGGAAACAATAGCAAGGTACTTTCTACAAAGGCAAACGCTACTGTCAACTAAGAAAGATCTAAATAAGTGATACACTTAAAGATGTACTGACCAAGAGTCCACAACCACGAAGTCTTACGATTCCGGTCACTCATATCAAATAGTACACGCCTCCTTGTGTGGTTCCGATGAAAAATCAAATCTCCAAAATACAGCTTTCTAAATTCTCTTCTAACATTGTCGTTCAATCGCTTACTATTATCACTTTATTAGAGATTCTCAAGTCGTACTCTACCTTCTTCAACTTTTTTGGGTAGACAGTTAAACCTTTCTCTTTGAATTCGGGAAAGATTTTCACTTTTTCACACTTCTTACATTTCGAAGGTTGGGGGTTTTCTGAATAGTTCAGCAGTAATATCTTTGACTATAGCGTTCGGCGACACGTCCGAATATCTCAGGAGGTTTCAGTTCTCTCAGTTTTTCACATTCATCTTATTGATGAGACGTAACAGATACGAAACTGATGATTAGTGAAGCTTCATGCCAATCACCTCTTACTACCCAACGGCTTTTTCACTTTGTCATAAATGTTTCATCACCCAACATGATGACGTCATTGGCACAGCTAGTGTTTAGGTTTATCAGCCTCATTACAAGGTACCAACTTACCTTACCATTCTGTACACATCTGATTACTTCCATCACCCTATGTATCAGTACGCAATCTCTTTATACCTTTTAAAACAACTCTTTATCCTACATCTGAATATTATATTTCTCATGGTGTTGTGTTCTCTGGACTGGATAGCTTAATCGTGGAGCTTTCATTGTCGTTCTAGTCAACATTATTAACCCCAGCTTCAGAAAGGAGTTAGTGATAAGGTTTTCTTCACAATTTATTTAGTGGCTTCTGATTGCCTTGTGTTTGGTTCTGTGTATCTGCAGCGGTTTTGTCATTACCTCTATGTTTATTTTGATTGGTTAACCTGATGACTTGAAATTTAAACCTCCTCTTGTTTCTTATTGGTTGATAGATATCACCAGCCAATTATCTCAGTCTACCCAATCTGTAAACCAATAAGAAACAAGAAAATGACAACGAATCAAAATAAACATAGAGATAGTGACAAATCATTGACAGAAACAGTGAACCACACAGAAGGCTATCAGGACAAGCCACTAAATAAATTGTGAAGAAAACCTTATCACTCACTTCATTCCGAAGTTTACGCTGATGATGAGTGGTAACATACTTGAAAATCCACTGCAGTTGCCATGAATTCAAAAAGAATATTCCCGTCTAGACAAATTTATCAAGAGAGATGTAAAGGAAGAAATTCTAGGATCGTGGGTAAAAATAGTTCCCGAAAATCTCCTCTTTCTATGACTTAATAGTATATGCAAGATATCATTTCAGAAGTACTATCCAATCATTTATGTAGAAGCCTAAGAAATACCTTCTTTACACTTTTATCTTAAAATTTTTGGCTTTCAAGTAGAACTATCCTATTTTCACGTGGAAAACAAGGAATTCCTTATTTGCCGAAACAATATGCATATATAAGTTCAGTTGTTCTTGTAGAATAACATGCTGATTGACAAAAACCAACGTAGAACCTCACACTCAGGTGCATTCAGTGAGAACTCTTTCTGGAAGTAGATGAACGGATAAAACTATCTCTACACAGGTACATATAATTGAGATAAGTCATTCAGTGGAGTCTAATAGGACTGTATCATTTGCTTTCTTAAAGTCTGCAAAAGAGACCAATCCGCGTAGACTCAAACGAAGAGAGAGTGACCTTTAAAAGCACATCTGCGACAAAATTAAATAAGAATGGGGAGAGTGAACATCGTTGATGGGCCGCTCTCAACTCACCTGATACTTCTATATAGGCATTAACATATCCATCGGCGTTCAAATATACAGCCTTCAACAAGATGATAAACTCGTTTAACATTCTTTTCTGTAAGTCAAGTGACACCTTTAGGTTAAAGAAATACGCTTAGTCTCAGGTGTCGATAACTTAATAGGCTTTGAAGATCTGATTTATACATCTGCAATCAAGTCTAAAATCTGTCTAGTTTTCTCAGGTTTTTTTATTTCTGAACATGAAAGAGTTTAGAATCTAGGGTCTTAGACACTATTCTTCAAACTGATTTCCATATGGTTAACAGATAAGGACTTATTTCCTCTCTTGAAGGCAACGACAATCAATGAAAAAACTAATTCTTTGAATAGGAAAGTTGTAAAGTTCAGGCGTTTTGGTGAGCTTCATTACTCAGCTGGATATAGGTATCATTATGTAATATGTCAAATAAACAAATCTTATATGGTTTTACATGCTGATACAGTACTCAAGTTTTACTCCTATATTGACACATCTCTGCTTTGGAATCTGTCAGTTAGTCAGTCAGTCAGTCACAGTATTCAACTATATTCACTGATATAATAAATTACAGAGAGATGAATGAATATCAACTTACACATAACGTTGATTACGATCTTCAAGTCTAGCGATTTCAGTTAATTCAGCATTATGAATTTCTTCTAAAGCTTGTTGTTGTTGACGTAAATTGGCTAATTCTTCTTCATCTATAACTTCTAATAAAGCCTGTTCAATTGTTTTGCCAATTAACACTTCTAGAAATGGCTGAACTTCTAAGTCAAAATTGAATAGCTAAGAAAGTAATAACAAAATTAATAATAAGAAAACTTCTATTGAAAAAAACATTTAAAGTAATTTTGCTGGATGATGATTGAAGGTGAGATAAAAATCTGGACCGTGGTCGGATTCGAACCAGTGACCACTGGGTTACCAGCCTAGTGCTCTGCCAACTAAGCTACGAGATCCGACTGCTGAACAGAATTTTATTTCACTTTAATCACTGTAGTGGATTTTACCCAACCAATATCATGTGAATTCGTAACGCCTTACTACCACTTGATCGTATTCTCACTGGCTGCCCACCAGTCACGACTCCTTATCCCAATTCAAATGTAACTGGATCAGAGAGGGAGAGTATCATATTGATTATAACTTGACTGTGTGAGATAGGTGTAGTTTTGTTAGACTAGTATTTGTACTAGGTGAGATGAAAATCTGGACCGCGGTGGGATTCGAACCAGTAACCACTAGGTTGCTGGCCTGGTGATCTACTGAAATACACCTATGTTAGATAATCAAATCATAATTAATAGTAATTTTTAACTCTCAGCAATATATGATCATTATTCCAAGGAATTACTTCACTGTCTATATAACTATGTGAACAAATTTACAAATTAGTTGTCTATTGTCTTATTTCACTGTTGGGAAAACACGCTATTACTGTCAGTAACTGAAGAGTGTCATTTCGTAGATAAAAGAAATGTAGATCATGTGACCATCATCTCAGAGACTACACTTTAAAACCTAACCACCTTCATAAATCAGTCATGTTTGCTATGAAATCTGAAGTCAACTATAAATTTGACTTTTTTTATATTCTGTTGAATAGATGAAATGGATTCCTTGAAAGATAGATTACCTGTGAGTCAATAATATATACATTTTCAGAATTGGATATCACTTTTTTGATGTATCCAAGACAAAGTGAAGCTGAAACAACCCATTGAATCATTTTCAACTCTGCTGAATATAATCCTCCTCATGAACTATGATTTCAAGTATATCCCATGAGTGAGAATTCTAGGCAACCATTAGTTCATTATGATATTGTATTTGGCTTTGCTGATCGGAATGGATATAAGTAGTATATTTCAAGTTGTTATTCATCGTAGATTGACATCAATTGGAGGAACAAAGGGAACCTAGAAGCACTGGATAGCTGTTTCTTTCTAATGTGCGACTCCTCAACAGTGCGCACCCACGACCCTGCCAGGAATCGAACCCACGGCCTTCAGGGTCCATGGTCAGCACGTTACCAATGGGCCACTGGGTCACAATCCAATGGTTCATATTTTCAACTTCTGTTAGCTCACTATATAGCGCAACCACCACTTAAAGTTATCGTTGAGTAACTGTTTTCACAACCATCAGGCTGTGCCCCCATCGGTCACGACTTCTCCATGGTTCAATGGTAACGCACTGGCCACGAAACATGGAGGTTGCCGGTTCGGCTCCTGGTGGGGTCGTGGGTGAGCGCTGCTGGGGAGTCCCATACTAGGACGAAACAGCTGCCCACTGCTCCCAGGTTTTCTTTGTTCGTCTAAATGATGTCAGTCTACGATGAATAAACACTTGAAATATTTCCAAATTCCTACAACTCCCTCAAAATTCAATGAGCAGTATATGTTGAGAGGGCGGCTGAAATCATAGGGAATTATCAGCAATGGGTAAGGATTCTGACTACAGACAAGAGACAATGTGAGCGTATTAAGAGCAAATCAAGATAGAAGCAGAAGAGGAAATGAAGCACATTATGCAAAAAGACTTTTTTAGCGCAATGTGTACTATATTTAACGACTACTGTACCACATGGTGGTAATAAACATTTTTTCCTTCGTCTCTATCTCTTCATGGAATCCAGTTGTATATCTTCTGAAATCGACCAATCATTAATCAATATCAACATAGGACCAGGCATTACTACTGAGTAACGGTCTGAGTTGCCACACCTCATATCAACACATCAAGTAGAAAGGTAGTGAGGTGAAAGATGAAGATAAGAGAATGCAGTGAAAAAAAATATAAAGTACGAGAAGAAAGAAAGGAAGAGTGACAAATTTGTTAGATTTGGTATGGTGTAGTTAAGATAAGGATAATGTGTATGGCGATACATCTGCCCCCAACTGACATCGGTTCTGAGCCACGTGGTCACCTACAGTCTCCAACCACTGCTTCCCCATGTCCCGCGGACACCAGCCACCTAGTCTGCATCGCCCCACATGGCTTAAACAAGCAGTCAGAGACTTCATGGATTGGTGCCATGTTTTAGTCTGGCCACCTCAGGTCTTTTTCCAGCCTGAACATACTTCAGCCAACATTGTGTGACGAGGCAATCAGTGACTAGGCATACGTAACACGTGTCAGAGTCAACCATCTCAGTCGATGAAGGTTCATAACTTCGTCAACTGATTTACCTCTACTTCCTAAGACTCTACTCCTGACTTCTGTATTACTTGCGTGGTGTTGTGACACCAGGGAATACGGCCTATACTGCGGAGACAACGGTGATGAAACACTTGAAGCCAGACTTCTCATGTCTTCCACCTTCAGTCGCCATGTTTCACAGCCATACAGTAGAACAGAGCGGACTGCTGTGCAGTACACGCGACACTTAATACACAAACGGATATCACGGCGGCGCCATAAGTGGCGTAACTTGGCAAAAGCCAATCGAGCCTTGCACTCAATCACTTCACTCTCTATTGTTAGCCGCGGCACCGCTGAACACCAGTCCTACAGCAAAAATTTGCATTTAGGTGGTGAGAACCGTATCGCAAATATTCTCAAATTCCCACTCAAAGTGTTCAGAAGACTCTGCATCTTGTCAGCGTCTTCACCTAACAGGACTATATCATCTGCATATTCTAAATCTAACGAAAATTCACCTGTGATTAGGTCAACGTCTGTGTAATTAGGTGAAGAGAGTGAAACCTCCATAAGTATATCTATGATAAAACTAAATAAGAATAGAGATAGTGGGCATCTTCTTCAAGATTGTTTAGACTCAGTAAGACGTATCCCATTCATGACTGACAGTGGAGTAATTACAGTCAAATAATCCGATAACCCAATGAATGTGGAACCGTAGAAACCTGACAATTAGAAGGATTCTGTGATTACGCATTGATCAGTTATGACGTGGCGTCGACAGACTACATCTTTCAGGATTGTTTATTTTGATGTGTTTCGTGTTCAGTTAAAGAGACCAATCCCATAGGTCATTGGATAAAAATGTTTACGAAGACTATGTTTGGCTTGGAAATGGGAAGCTAAGCCAAAACATAGAGTAAAAATCTGTCAAAAAACCAGTGAACTGATAATTCATTCTGTTTTTCAAGACTATCCCTACAATTTCATAGAAAGATAGTCTCTTTGTGAAAATTCAACAAAGACAGAGGTGAAGTATTCTGATCGTTTCATGTAATCTCCTAGCTAACTATCTTTTTGAATGCCTCTTTATTTTCATCTACCTATTCATCAGTCAATTATATAATAAAATTTAATTGATAAGTTTCCTTTCTCCTCTATCACATCCCTCATGAAAAAAAAAATTCTTTCTGGATACTTACATCATTTTCATAGATTTGTGTTTCTATATCAATACTAGTTTTAGCTGGTACATATATAGGTGTTGATGGTCTGCTTAAAAATGCATCCGTTTGCGTGCTAAAATCATCTTGTTCAATAATCTCTGTAAGTTCTTCAAGGTATAATTCTGTTTGAATAGGTACAGATGAGCGATTGAAATCGATACCTTTGATAAATGGAACAGAAACAAAAAGTATATTGATCATTGAACATTTTAGAGTTAATACTTAAGTAACCAATGGACTTACTAAAAAAATTAATCCTAAACAATCAGTGTGAAGATCTACTACACTACACTCCACTAATTATAAAGAACAAGATCCTGATTTTTAACACTAATGTGAATCAAGTCAGTGCTGGCTGGCTGACTGGCTTGCTGGCTGGCTGGCTGGCTGGCTGGCTGGCTGGCTGGCTGGCTGGCTGGCTGGCTGGCTGGCTGGCTGGCTGGCTGGCTGGCTGGCTGGCTGGCTGGCTGGCTGGCTGGCTGGCTGGCTGGCTGGCTGGCTGGCTGGCTGGCTGGCTGGCTGGCTGGCTGGCTGGCTGGCTGGCTGGCTGGCTGGCAACCAACCAACAACCAACCAACCAACAACCTATCACTCAACAAATACCCAGTAGAAGAACTTGGAGATGGATTGGATGCGATATACAGTGAGAAGACTGATTGGGGACATCACGAACCAGGCCAGGCCGTCAAGTGAAACCCAAATGGTAAACGACGAGTTGGGTGTCCGAGGTGAGGGTTACATGGAGGAGATGGTGTGAGGAAGAAATGAAAGTTTATGGGCAGTTTTGGAGCCAGGTTTGCAACACTACAAAGAACAGGGTGCAATGTTCCACAAGGAACCCAAGGGAAAAATAATAATAATAATTGAATTTCAACTGAATAATTTAATGAAACCATGAAACCTAAATATCTTGGACATCATCCCTGACTAAATGATGAATGCATACTGAAGAACAGTTCCATGTTAGGATGGAACAGTTATTGTGGTGAATATTAAATGGATAGTGAGTATTAGCCATGATTAGCATAGGATTCCTGCACGGATGCCATGATATTCCCACTATTGTCAATTTTGATATATTAATAATAAATAGTGCTTGACAGTAGAATCTAGGAAGTGCCTTTCATCCAATTTGTGACTCATCAGTTGAATATACTTACATTCTAGTGATTAACTTTATTACCAAGACGACATGAACCAACAAACTATTATTCCAAACATTAAAAAGTTATTCATTAACAGACTGGATCATTATATTCACTCCTTGTGTGATACATGTTCAACTTGATCTTATAGTATGTAAGTTTTCATGGAGATTTCGAGGCAACGAAGTAACAGTTTCTTCTCTATGCATCAACTAGAATTGGATTACTTCTAGTGGGATCAAATCTGAACAATGTGGACTGTTACAATAACATTCAAGAGCGTTAAATGAATGTCACTACTTGTGTTGTCTTATTAATGATTGAACAAAAGTGATATATCTCTATTAACATGTGCTGCTGCAGCGCTGATGCCTCAATAATGCCCTTATTTGAATTATATACTAATGATGGATAGTGGTTAGCAGGGAAATCCAAGACAAGCGTTTCGTCTTATTTGAGACTCGTCAGCTGAGTGTTCCTGTCTCCTAGTAAGTGGTGTTGTTCCCATCAGGACTCAAAGCAGAGGCCGATAGCCTCAAACTCCAGAGTTTTTTCCACAAGACCACTTAGTTACGATAACCACTACCCACCATTGCCATAAAAATTGAAAATAACAGGCAATACTGAGGCATCCGAGCAGGAACCCATCTGCCAATAAAGATCGATCACTTCGCTCTACTCAACGACGAGATAATACGAGCAACAACATAAGAAATACACCAGATAAACAACAAGTGGTTTGGTGACTTGGTGGTTTAGTGGTTAACACCTTGGCGTTTGAAGCGACCAGTCTCAAGTTCGAGTCCTAGTGGGAACGACATCACTTACTGGAAGATAGGTAAATTCAGCTGACGAGTCCCAAATAAGAAGAAAGGTCTGTACTGGATTTCACTGCTAGCCACTATCCATTACTAAAAGTCAAATGAGGCCTGTAACAGAGATCACTCCATCATGTCAAGGATGTAAAACATATCTTATATCTGGAGAACTCTCATGAAAATCAGTTACAATGAGACGGCTGATGATCTCCAGAAAGCAAACCATAGGAAAGCTAGTTGACTATTTCCCATACTTAGAAGGGAATGAATCAATGGTTATCAAAGCATATTATGTGATATGAGTAAGATTCAGTAAATTCTATTGGTTGATTTTAACGTTTATGTAACATACGAACGCCTTGATATTGCCAGAAGGATAATTATGATGCAATTTGATCGGTAACTGCTAACAATGGAGACGACGATGCAAGTTTCATTCAAACAGTATACTGTTTATAAAGGGAAGTGTTCAACTTCATAGCTTATTGAAGCTAGTGTTTCTCAAAGTGCTGTACTTTTTCCGTTTCTATGCTCCTTCTCTATGCATCATTTAGCTTATTCTATTGAAACTGATTTTAGGAAGTATGCTAGCGACCTAATGGTGTCTATTCCAGTTAACTCTCACTTAGATTGCTCAGAATTAAATAGATTCTTGTCTTTAATTCACCAATGGTCTCCCTTAAATGGTTTCAAGTTAAACCTTTCTAAATGTCATACTGTGAATTTTAACCTCAGGCGTAAAAAAGACTTGTGGGGGATTGTTCAAGTCTTATGACGCCTGTTGCAGTACTGATGGTATTTCTGAAGAAAGTAAATTATGTGTTAAATATCTTGGATTGAGTTTTGTTAGTCGTCTCATATCTTGTTGCCTTTCAAGAAAATCTTTCGTTTACTGCATTTCTTGGAGAAACTGAGACCGTCTGGTATAACTGGACTTCTACTATTACACTTTATTGATTCTTGCATTTTACGTATACTTCTCTATTGTTCCCCGTTGATCTTTCCTAGTCTTCGAAAAAAGGACTGTTGCATTGTGTAGGGTATTGGAAACTGTCAGTTAGTAGGGTGAGTATTGTGCCACGGGCCCAAGTGATTACCACTGTACTTGATTGTTATATTACTATCATTTGTCCCCTGGGTTCCTAGCGGAATATAGGGCTTCACTAGCACGTCTCCATTCCACTCTCTTCTCTGCAATCTTTTCAACTTGCCTCCACGACAGCCGACATGCTTTCATTTCTTCCACACATGATCTCCTCCATGTCATCCTTATCTCGGGCGCCCAACTTGTCGTTTTCCGTCTGGGTTCCAGTCGAGTGCCTGTCACGTGATGTCCTTGAATGGTCTTTTCAGTGCATGCCCAGTCCATCTCCACTGTAGTTGATAAACATTTAAATTCTGGCAAGCAACTAGCTAAAGTAATTTAAACTGACACTGAGTATTCGCTTCATTCTCAACTCTCTCCTTTCCTAGCATGCATATTTTGTGAAGCAAAAGGTGTTAGAACAGAACTCACATATCAACTTTATAACAGTTGTAACAATTAACAGTCTAAAATTTTCTCGTTATTAACACTATAAAAGGAATGAAATCAATAAAACTAGTATGATCTTGTAATAAAGAGGTAAGCATCTATAAAGGGAGGAGAGGAGAGGAGTAAGATGTTAGAGATTTAGAGGAAGTTAGGAAATCTATGGCCCACCAGCTGAATCAGCCTTCAAGTTGTGACAAATCTCATTCCATCATATGCACAGATCAATTGTTAACGACTTTCTGAACTATGGAGCTGTGAGTGTTCACTGCTACAGACTGGATGAGATATATCTTACTCTCCTTGATAAAGTTAGTCATGACATCAATGGAAACAATACCACTCACTTAGAAACAGGTATTTCGAGATAATCGGTCCTAAATAGGATGGAATGTGCGTCCTGAATTCTACTCCTAGGCACTACTCATCATTAGTACCAAACTAAAATGCCTGGTGATATATCGATGCATCAGCACATAAACCTATATGCCAATAAGAACCAATCAATTTGGTCCATTCATCGACGGGAAATTATAACCAATCACATTGAGAATCTTGAAAGCCTCACAATCCACCGACAGACAGAAACGGCATTGTTGTTAGTGGAGGTAGTGCTTTTCTTTTGATGCAAGTCAAATGACAACAACTTACATCCAGATCCAATAAGTCTGCCTTTTACATAACAATCACGTTTTTCTTGCGAAACTCGTCTAGCAGTTGCAGCTCTTTGTTTACTTAACACATCCCGTACATCACTGCATTGTTTACTCCACTTATTAAAACGTTTACGTGAAAAAACTTCATAGTGTACAGTGGCATCTTCATTCGAGCCTGCATTCATTGTAGTGATTGATTCACGACTATAAAAAAAGTATGAGGAAAAAATCAAAGTGAAAAAAACGATTTAAAAATGCAAATATTTTCATGCACTTTATTTCTCATTGTAAAATATTGACAAAAACATGACATAGTTGTTGTGATCTAAACTTACGTTACGTAATTCACAAATTATTGCAAGGTTATACTAAAAACCGCTAAGATAGCCAAGTACCGAGTGACTCCAAAGGTCACTCCAGCAACAACTAAAAGGACCAATTAAGTTTTCGTATTTCTGCTGGAAAAGTAAATTTTAATAAAATACAGAAATCTGATTGGTTATTTTAGCTTTTTTTAAGGTGGCCAATTACATTACTCTATTTTACGAAAAATTATCCTTCCAGCAGAAATTTCGAAATCTGATTGGTTATTTAGACAATTCCTGGGATGGCCTCTAAATTCACTCTCAGAGTCATTTATGATTCATAGTCATACTCTTTTGATATATTATTACCATGGCAACTGAAATAATTAAATAGAAGTATCTCTGAAGCCTTATTTTGAAGGCTGTCACAACAACGACTGAAATACCAAATTCGACTTCGTTATTTAATGAAAATCTGCCTTTCTAAACAGAAATAGCGAAACCTGATTTGTCTGAACACTTATTCCTAGGGTGATCTTTAGAGTTGCTCTCTTGGAGAGCCATCCTGATTGGTATAAGTTCTAATTTTCAGCAAAGACTGAGTTGACCTCAGCAACAACAGGCTGGAATCCTAAGGAAAGACAAACGAGGCTTACTATAGCCATCATAATAGTAAATAAAGCTTACAGCTGAGCTAAGTAATTTAAATCGGTGACATCCAAATTCTAACACTTGACATGAATGCCAAACTGGGAGCTGACAACACAGCAACTGAAGTAAGCGTGGGTTGAGAGGCAATCGGTGGAATGAATGAGAATAGAGAACTCTTTGCAGACTTCTGCGCCTTAGATGATTCGGTAATTGGAGGCAGTGTGTACAAACACAAAGATATTCACAAGGTAGCCACACGGAGTTGATTTCACTAGATGGACACACTAAAAATCAGATCGCCTTCATCTCAATGTGAAGAAAGTGGAGATGCAGCCTACTGGACACAAGATCAGATCAAGAAGGGGAGCAGATATAGGTTCGGACTACTCACTGTCTAGTGCAAGAAACCCACCTTCAAAGCCAAGTTGGAAGCCTTCGAAGAAGTTGGTAGTGATAGACCACAGTTCATGTTCAACACCCAGAACAGAAACTGAAGGATGAAACTACAAAGAACATCTTCACGTCAGCCATAAGAACAAAATGAGAGACATTGAATAACATCCCTGAAGGAACCTGAGTGGAAGAACACTGGAACTCTTTGTAAGCGATGTGGAAGGAAACCTGCATAACCGTGTTAGGAAGGAAGAAGAAGCGACAATACCATGAATGGGTCTCGACGGACACATGGAAACTGATAGAGGAGGGAAAGGAAGATGGTGAAGCAGTAGATGTACCAGACACTAGACAAAGAAATGAAGAAGAGATTGTGGAAACACAAAAGACACTTCTACGATACATTGGCGAGTGAAGCAGAACAGGCTGCTGGTAGGAGAGATAGAGACCTGACAACATTTTATGAAATAATCAGGTTACTATCTGGGAAGAGATCAGCGCAGATGAAACCAATGAAAGAGGGTGAAGGAAACCTAGTTAGCAAGGAGGAGAAAAAAAGGAAAAGATGTGTTGACCACTTCAAGAAGCTCTTGAATCGATCATTTTTACCACCTGCAAGTCGTCCAGAAAAACCACCACTAGACACTTAATAACTATCAATGAACACAAACCCTCCGACGAAAGCATAAGTTCTGAATGCCATAAAACTACTGAAATTCAGGAAAGCAGCAAGACCGGAGGAATCGCGCCAGAAGTACTGAAATCAGACTCAGGAACGACAGCGGACATGTCCACATCACTACTTCAGAAGGTTTGCAAGAAAGGGACGGAAGGTACTTACCGAGTGGAAGGAACGCTACATTATCAAACTCACAAAGAAGGGGGACCTAAGTTTTTGCAAGAAGTGGTGGGGAATCATGCTCCAGTCCACCACAAGCAAACAAAATATTAGGCCGTATCATTCTGTAGAGACTAAAGGATGGGGTGAATTCAAAATATCGACTGGAACAGGCTGACTGGATTCAGGAAGTACAAATCATGTTCCGATCTAAATGCAACGCTACGCATCATTATAGAACAGAGTATAGAATGTCAGTCAACTCTCTACCTCAACTTCATCGACCCTGAAAGGTCCTACGACAGTGTCGACAGAGTAGTAATTTGTCAGGCAACTACTTCAACACTATGGTTTTAGTGCCACAAACCTTTATCAATCTCATTCAACAGCTATATGCTAAATGATGCTACATGCCAAGTGATTCACAATTGGAAACTCAGTGACACTTTCGAAGTGAAGACAGGAGTGAGACAAGGTTGCCTACTATCACCGATGATCTTCCTGATTGTAGTGAACTGGATCATGCAGCAAACTGTGAGGAGTGAGGAGAGGGGCATATGCTGGGCAGATGAAAAGACCCAACAAGAAGATTTGGATTTCGCCGATGATTGATGTTTAATTTCACACAAACTCTAAGATCTACAGGCGAAAACCAACAAGTTGACAGAAGAGGCGAGGCAGCGAAGGAAGACGGGACTTCAAGTGAATGTAGAGAAGATGGAGGTGATGAAGATACCCAAGCAACAACAACAACAAGCACCAATCACCATGAACGGGAAAAACCTAAAGGAAGTTTTCTCTTTCACCTACCCACCTAGACAGCATCGTTTCAATTACAGGCAACGACGGCACAGACGAGGACGTCAAAGCCACGATCGGAAAGACAGCAAGACAGGCTTTCACTAATCTGAAATCACTGTGAAGATCTACTCCGCTCAGCACAAAGATCAACATCCGGATTTTCAACACCGATGCCAGTTAAGTTAGTGCTTCTATATGGTTCGGGAACTTGGAGTGTCACGGAAAGCATTTCCAACAAACTACAGACAATCGTCATCAACAGCTGTCGCCTACGTTTGCTGGATACTGAAGATCAAATGGCCATGATAATAAGAACGAGCAACAAGAAACTCTGGGAACAAACCTACCGAGAACCTATCACCCAACAAATATCCAGTAGAAGAAAGTGGAGATGGATTAAGCATGTACTGAGAAGACCATTCGGAGACATCACGCGCCAGACTAGGCCGTCGAGTGGAATCTAAAGGGGAAATGACAAGTAGGGCGTCCGAGGCAAGGGTGACATGGAGGAGATCGTGAGAGAAAGAAATGAAAGCTTGTGGGCAGTCGTGATGCCAGCTTGAAAAGACTGCAACGACCAGAGTGAAATGGTGACGTACTACCGAAGGCCTATGTTCCACTTGGAACCCTAGGGAAAAATAGTAATGTTAATCAAACTTCCACAGTGTAGACAGGCAGAAAGTATCCATCATACTCAAAGCCTGTTAACGCCTAAGATTTTTCAGATCTCTGACACACTGAAATCTACCACTTCACGAAGGCAACATTATTTCTGTGTAGTAAACTGATCAAAACATTTGAGTTTTATATGTGTTTATCCAAAATTAGTACCTAATCACCTAAGGTCATTGATCATTTTAAACAAATTTAAATTATCAATATTCAAATAGTGATTCATTGATTATTGAAAAGTTTTTTTTCACTTACCAAGTTTGTCGATAGGGTGTATTCAATGGCAAACTGTTATACACATAAGCCCCTTTCTTTTTTTGATGATACTGCATTATGAAAGTAAATTTCCAGTTGAGATTGTTCAATTATACATTAATATAATGAAATGATTTATTTTTCTCTAAGTGTGATTTAAATTACTGACAATAGATGATTATCCTCCTTTGAAGGTCGTTTCCGTATTATTATAATCATGGCATGAGCTTATTAGTGTAGTGTACTTCCCAGTTTATATCCTTCACGTCTCAATTCAAATGTATAACATCACATGATTTCAATCAATCTATAATCGATAATGACAGTGATTCATTACACTTGAGAGAAAATATAATCTTCGAGTGAGTCATCAAAATTACTGACGTCTGTAACAATATTCTGATTGGTTAATAACATCCTCTGCGACCTTGACTAATGCTATAATTCTATTGGCTGAGCCTATGCTATTGTAATGAGGTTAGTATAAATACGGATGTTCAATGCAGTGTGAAGGATATTGATAGGACTTATGAGTGTGTGTGTGTGTGACTTCAATTCTATGAGCAGTAAATATAACTATATTCCAGATACATGGAATTAAGAACAGGTAACTTAAGAAGATACTTCATCTCAGCGTGTTACGCAAAAGTATACTCCTTCTAGTACGTCATAATTATACCCAAAGGAAACATACTAACCAGTGAATACGTGAAGGAAGTTATTTGGAATGAGTCAACACTATGATTACTATGATTCAAAGAGTAATAAGGTGAAGAAATCTCACAAAGTTGTTCAATTTCATGATATCACGAAAGTTAGAACACCAATTCATCAAATATCATCAGCCAACTGATAAATTACTGAGCAAAGTGGCGGTCAGGACTATTCAGGGTAATTTAGCACACTGAGTTGGACCTGAAAAGCAGTTTGTAAGTTTTCTGTAAAATATATATCAATGTATCGATCGATTTTGTAGTTTTAGATTGGGATTTATCGGTTGGGGAAATACTGGAAACTTGAAGCTATGGATAACTGCTTCGTCCTAGTATCGGAATCCTCAGCAGTGCGTACCTATAACCTCACCACACCAGGGGTCGATCCTAGCATCTTCTGGCAGGCACGTCACCATCGAGCCAATGGGTCGGAATCTAATCATCAACATTTCTTACTTTCATCAGTTAACGGTATGGCGCAACCTACATCCAATGTCGACGTCGGTTGACTCCACTGGTCATGACTACTAATTGGAACTTCGAGAATCACCTCTCGAAGTTAGTCACCAACCAGCGCTAGATTGGTTCTGTATAGAGGTAGTCGCGGAACCTAAAAGGCCCTGGGTCCGATTTCTGGAGGGCAGGGAAATGGGGGAGCACTTCTGACGAGTCCAATACTAGGTGGACGGTTTTTCATTTTAGACTTCACTAGGTTTCATCTACTGTGTTAACATATCTCATACTTGTTGCCTATTTTTGAGCAATCGCATAGGATTTTCTCGGATTGATTTTCCCTATCCGGGTCAATTGAACAGTCTAAAGGTTTGAAAATCAATCATATATCAACTGTGATGAAAATCGTCTGCCCATACTTCATACAACAACACTCTGCGGACTTTGAATTCGTGCTGTAGACAATGAACCATACATACGGTGTCATGACTAATGATACTACCTGGGTCATCAAATATCTGTAGATAGAGCGGTGCTAAAACTCTTGACCTCTAAGTTGGAAGTTAACTGGTAGAATCACCGTACACTTGACAAATACCAGCTAAACGCATAACAAACATACTCAAACTTCAGATCAACACTTTCAGAAGACCCTGGGTTTTGTCAGCGTCTTCATCTAGAGCAGGACAATATTACTGGCACCTGACATTTATATTTCACTATGTCGATCAACATTAATCACAGTAAAAAGTAGTACCAGTCCATAAAATGTTTAACAGTCGATTTGAACCATGTAGACAGATATCTGTGATATGATAATCGATTTGATTGTCTGTCAGATTAGAAGTGATAATGAGCACCAGTCTATTACATCCAGCTTTAATGACTAAGAAATGTCGATTGAAGGTGAAGATCCAGGAAATATAGAACCAATGGGTTTCACTAGCACTACTTGCATGCATGTCTTAGAAGTGTAGAGTGAGTAAAATGTGAGATAATCGATTAAGTCATAAACAAGTAAAGTTATCTAGTCGATGAAAATATACACCTTCGACTTCGATGAAGTCGATTGGGTTATTCAATGAATAGGATTGATTTGGAAAGTGATAGGTAACCAAATCAGTCTAGGAAGCTTCGGTTCTCAATATGAAGTGTAGATTGCTTGACTGACAGTCGTTTGTGAGATGTTAAGAATCATCATAAATTTGCTGACTATACGGACAATGTATTTCTGATTGTAAGATGTGGCGAAGGAAACAGGTATCTAGCATTATTTAGAGAATTTTGGTTTCAGCATGTGTTGTGCATACCGAGTCATCGTCTACTTTCACATGTGATGCTTGTCAAAGTTGGATTATGTTGGAAGTTTGCGAGTGGTTAGATGAAGACTTGGCATAAGTTGGTGGAGTCTCTGATTGGTGGTTTGACACGTGTGTAGTGAGGTATAAATGACTATCTGGCTGAGATCCCTGTGGCTGGAGAAATCAGTGGTTGGGGAATTGATGACTCTTAATGACATGGTTAGAAATGGATCACAATAGCGTAGAATATTTTTCGACTAGCTGTAGAAATTCTCTCTTGTCCTATCCACCTTTGAGTACTTTGGTATCGTTTTTTTTTTCATTCACTTTATACTTACTGTGAAATGTACCAACTTAGATCGATGAACTTTTGTAGGAGGTGATGTTGCCGATAATGACATTGAAGAAGACATACTTTTTGTTAGCTACCATATTAAAGTATCCTGTTTACTTACATATTAGTAGACTGTACAATTTTCAATGACAAGAGTCTAGAAGAAGACTTGGATTTCGCCACTGATGATGATTTATGTCTAATGTCTTCTCGCAGAAACTCGAAGATCTGTGTGTGAAAACTAAGAAGTTGGGAGAAGAGGTGGGGCGAGATGAGGTGAGGCAGCGAAGACGGGACTTGCTTCAGATGAACGTAGAGAAGACAGAGAGAGATGATGTGATGAAGATACCCAACCAACACCACCACCACCAACAACAACAACAACAAGCATCAATCACGGTCAACAAGGGAAATGTGAACGAAGTAGTCTCTTTCACCTATCACCTAGGCAGACAGCATCATTTCAACCACAGGCGGCGGCGTCGACGTCGGTGTCGGCACAGATGAGGATGTCAAAGCCAGGATGAGAAAGACTATAAGACAGGCCTTCATTAATTAACCTGGAATCAGTGTGAGGATCTACTGCACTCCACTCTACTCCACTCCACTCCACGCCACCAAGCATAAATTGTGAACAACATCCATCTTCTCAACACTAATTCCAGTCAAGTCAGTCAGTGCTTATATACTATATGGTTGAGAGACTTGGCGTCTTACGTGAAGCATTTCCAACAAACTACACACATACATCATCAACATCTGCGGCCTACGCTCACTCCATACTGACAGTGAAGATCCATCAGGTGGCCAGAATAATAAGAATAAGCAAGAAGGAACTCTGGCTGGATGGCTGGCTGGCTAGCTAGCTAGCTAGCTGGTAACGAACCAACCAACCAAGAACGCATCGCCCAACAAGTATGAAGTAGGAGAAAGTGGAGATGGATTGAATTAGACATACACTGAGAAGACCGATTGGGGACATCACGCACCTGGCCAGCCACTCGAGTAGATCCGAAATGGGAACGATGAGTTGGACGTCGGGTGCGAGAGTGACATGAAGGAGATGGTGTGAGGAAGAAATGAAAGGTTGGTCGGATTGGTGAAGCTAGGTTAAAAAGACTACAGAGAAGAGAGTGAAATGGCGATGTGTAACTGAAGCCCTATACACCGGTAGCCTAATCACTTCTTATGATGGATGTGTAGAGCAATGAAATCAACGATGAAGGGGTAGGGGGAATGCAGTAATTGTATTTTGTGAGAAGAAAAATTTGAACATTTCCCATCAGGGTTAGGGTTCATAACTGAATATCTTGTGGTTTGAGCCTTGTCAACAACATTGGACATCATGTTATCTACTGATGAAATTGATAAGTCTTCAGTGAATAAACAATCCAGTTGTACTTGGGGGAGTCAATCGTGAGCCGAATTATTCAATGGTAACATGTCTGACTGCAGTGCTGAATGATGCGGACTCGAATGTTAGGTGGTATATGAGTTCCTTCAGAGTTGTAGATACATCTCACTGACGACTGTTAACAAGCAGGAAACGTGGGTGGAGCAAGGCTTTCTCCCGATTGCCTTTATCACTATGTATTATTGAAACACAAAGGTGGTACAGCAGAGGTTGGAGGAAATCTCCACCAATTAATAATATAACAAGATTAGGAAGACATAAAGAGAAGAGAATAGAAGAGAAGAGAAGTGGATGAGTAACAGCGAAGTAAAACACAATGAGAACAGAATGATCAGAAGGGTAGTTCAGTAAGACACATTCAAGACGAAACATTCATTACTGTTGATCAGCAGAGTACAGAAGGAAGTTACAGCATGATTGTCACTGGTTTCTATTCTCACTCATATATGATAATGTATCAAGCCACTGAGTTGAATGATCTGTCATACCTCAACCAGGAAGTCATGATGCACAGACAGATGCTGACTAGATACAACTATCCTTCATCCCACAGCACCACATCATACACTGACCACTCCCTCCTCCCCTGTTCTTCCATCCAGTTGGAGGTTTATCGAACAGTGAACAGTATGGAAGCCGGTGTTTCCGGATGACTTCACTTGTTGAATGACGATTGCCATCATGTCAGAACACAAGGTGTCATACTACCTCACAATAAGGGAGATGTTGTTGGCACCGGATATGAGCAGTCCTGTGGAGACAACGATGGCTTCCATTCAGGGAGGTCAGGTTTCACAGGCGTAGAGTAGAACTGCTCGCAGTGACGCGTTGTGAATCCAACCGTTTGCGGTTAGACTGACGT